GAACAAGCCCGATGCTTTGACAGCAAGGCTTTTGACACAGTCGTGGTGCAGGAGTAACCCCCTGCACCAGGACAGGTTGGGGGTGACCTGCTGGAGAGCAGCTCTGAGGAAAGAGACCTGGGAGTCCTGGTGGACAACAGGATGCCCATGAGCCAGCAATGGGCCCTGGTAGCCAAGAAGGCCAATGGCATCATGGGGGCCATCAGGAAGAGTGTGAGCAGCAGGTGGAGGGAGGTCATCCTGCCCCTCTGCTCTGCCCTGGGGAGGCCCATCTGGAGCACTGGGACCAGTTCTGGGCTCCCCATTCAAGAAGGAGAGGGAACTGATGGAGAGGGGACAGCAGAGGCTACAGAGATGATGAGGGGCCTGGAGCATCTCCCTTACGAGGAGAGGGTGAGGGACTTGGGGCTTTTTAGTCTGGAGGAGAGAAGGCTGAGGGGGGATCTGATCAATGCTTATAAATACTTAATGAAATGAAGTGACATCCAGATTTTCCGTTGGCTTTCTCCTTAGGAGTGGTTAGTGTGTGTGCACATGCATACAAATAATTCCATTTTGATGTAATTTTTGCCAAAGTTCCCTCATTTAAGTGACATTTTTGCCCCATTTACATCAATATTAAAATTTCCATTAACTTCCCCAAGGCTGGGATTCCACCTGTTTTGTCTAAGTTCACTATAGTTCACCCTAATGTATTTAAAAGCATTTATATTTTAATTGCTTCACTGGAGTGCAGTTGTCATGGCTGGCAAATCTTGCCGAGGGCAGAAAGGGTCATTTGGGAAGGAACAATCCCACGTGAGGGCTTACACAGCGGAATAGAAATACTACGCTCTGCGTTCAGTGAAAAATAACATGGTGAGGGGCATTCCAAAGTAATCTTTTTTAAAAATGGTTTTCATGTGGAATATTGCTGCTCTTAAGGAGTTTTGTCAAAGTCTACAGCTTCATTCATACATCCAGTTCTGGGCTCCCCGGTTCCAGAAGGACAGGGAACTGCTGGAGAGGGGACAGCAGAGGCTACAAAGATGCTGAGGGGCCTGGAGCATCTCTCTTATGAGGAGAGGCTGAGGGACTTGGGGCTTTTTAGTCTGGAGAAGAGAAGGCTGAGGGGGATCTGATCAATGGTTATAAATACTTAAAGGGTGGGTGTCAGGAGGACCGGGCCAGGCTTTTTTCAGTGATGCCCAGGGACAGGACAAGAGGAAATGGGCACAAACTCGAATGTAAGAATTTTCACCTAAACATGAGGAGGAACCTCTTTCCTGTGAGGGTGGCAGAGCCCTGGCAGAGGCTGCCCAGGGAGGTGGTGGAGGCTCCTTCTCTGGAGACATTCAAACCCCCCTGGACACGTTCCTGTGGGACCTGCTCTGGGTGGACCTGCTCTGGCAGGGGGTTGGACTGGATGATCTCCAGAGGTGCCTTCCAACCCCATGGGACTCTGTGATTCTGTGATATGCGTTGTCATAAGAAATACAAGTTTAAAAAGTGGTTCTGAGGAGACGGAGACAGAGCTGTTGGCAGCACACAGACAGAGGGGAATCACGCTGCTCGGCTGGGATGGATACCCCAATTGTGCCGGAAAAGAAAGAGAGGCTGAGAGTGGGTGTCAGCAATAAAGAAAAACTATCCAGAAATTTAAAGTCTGTCCCTTTTCCTCCCCAGTTCTCCCACCCTTTCCCCCGTGTCTCACCTGCAGCTGTGGTTGTGGCCACGGTGGTCCAGCAGAGCAGCTCACCCTTCACGCAGGACCTGGGACGTCTCTGCACCTCCCCGCCACGTAGGATTGCAAACTTAAATATCCCTCCTTTCTGCTTCTTGGTGTATTTGCCTTGGCTTTTGCCTGAATCTGGGTCTAATCCTGTCCTCTGTGTGTCCGTACGAGTTTCAGCTGGACTCTAAGAGAGCTGGCCACCTGTGCTGCTGCGGAGGTGACGCCGGGGTAGCATCCATTTGCTGCAGGTGCTTCAGCTCCCAACAGGAGTGTTTCCTGCCCCTTCCAGGTACAGAGGAGATGAGAGGATGGACAGACAACGTTTTATCTGGAGTGCCCCGTCACCATTTGCCAGTGACCAGGAGTGCGGGTGTTGGGATTTCCAAGCTGTTTATGGCAGGAGAGGTTTTGCTGGTTGTGGCTTTGCTTCTCGTACTGCAGGAGGCAGAGAGAGGAACCCTTTTTTTGGCTCATGACAGAAGTTCGTAGGCAGTAAGATTCTCTTTGTTCCAAATTTTCATGTCTCTAGACATTTAACACTGTATTCATTAACGTGAACAGCGTTGTCCATAAATATGTATGGTGGCAGTCCCTGATGTCAGGGTTCTCAGCTAGTGTGAAACTGTGTAATTGCTCTGAATTATGTGAACTGGCACAATCCTCGTTAGAAGATGACGTGGGCCAGAGCACAGGAGGGGTCTGCGTTAGCCAGGGAAGGCTGGAGTAGTTTCTAATTCTTCTTACTTACTGCTTTCATGCGGATGTAGAGTCTTTTGAAGTTGATGTGATCCAAATAAGGTATCTTAAATTTTCTACTTGCAGTGTCAATATCTCACTAAGTGGCACATCCTCGGGTTTAGGGGTTACATTTCACTATTGCTTCAGAGGAAACGAAGACCTTGTTTGGATCTGGACTTTGGAGCAATACTGAAAAGTTGAAGGAGAGAAATACTTCTTTAAAGGATTAACCGGTTGTGTGTGCGAAGCGCCACGTGATTAAAATGTTTAGCTAATTCAGAATTTATATTCACTGAAATTAATAAGACTGTGTATATTCATGTAACGCAGCTGAATGCAGATATTTAGGGCATGCAAAATGAAGCACACAAAAAGATTTTAAGAATTTTGCGGCTTGAAAGAGCGACGAGAAATGCAGTTCTTTTCAAATCAAAAAATGACAACGTCTTTCAGGAGGAGCAGAGCTCTGACAAAGGGTCTTTCAACCCAGGATCTCACAGCTCTGCTGGAGACAGGGAGTGAGGGTTCAACACTGCAGCCTTTATCAGACCAACGCTCTGAGGGCAAAGGGAGCCCTCTGATAATTTGGGGGCCGCAGGACGGGGCTCGGGCAGCTCTCACCCTGCCAGGTTCCTCAGCTCTACCCTCTGAGAATCACAGAAATCACAGAATCACAGAAGAGCCAGGGAGAGGTGGGACCTGCTGGAGGCTCCCCGCCAGCCCGCGGCCAAGCTGTGAACCCAACACCCCGCAGACACGTACGTAAGCTGCAATCCCATCCCTCTCCTGGGATTCTAACTTGGGAAGAACAACTGTTTTGAAATTTAAACCAGGAAGATAATCACGTCTTTCCACGTGATGCGTTGTTATCCTGGCTCGTTATCTTGGCTGAAATGAGGAAATACTTTTCAAAATCCGTTGAGGGGTGTGAGAAGGAGGAAGAGAAACCAAAAGCTAACATTTTCTGACTTGAAGACCGGTTGAGCTTAATTGCTGTTCGGCTAATAAATTTTCATATAACAGTCACCACCTTCCTCCCCCCCTCCCCAGTCAGAATGACTAGACTAGAAAAAGATTAAATATGTCTTTTATATATAATGTGATATGTTTAATTAAAGCCCTACTATCTGTGTTTTCTGTGTGGCTATTTCTAGTCATTTGACTTGTCTCCATCCTTCTCTCTGGTTTCCCTCTTTAAATGCAGTGTGGGAGCTGCCAGGAGCACACTTGGGGAACCTGAGGACAGTGCAGTTTCCCATTGAGATGGGAGCAGGGGCAGCGCTCAGCCCCACTGCTTCGTCACACACAGAGGATAACACAGTGCAAGAACATTCAGGTTTGTAAATTACAGCTTTTAAAAGGCAAAACAGATGTCAGTAATCTGCTGTGCTTTGCAGTGCCATAATAGGTACGCTCTCGTGCTTACTGGAGTGGCTGATTTTTAAATTTATGATAAAGTATATAAAATTAATGATGTGTGCTTACACTTCAGTGATAAAAACCAGTTTCTGTCAGCGTGCTAATGTACGTAATTGGCTCTTTACAACTAGAAACCAGATACTCTCATTCACGCGTTCATACTCTGGCAGTTTAATTTATGGAACCGGGGTGGATTTATTTTTGGGGGGGGAGGGGGGAGAGGGGAAGGCAGGAAAAAAATCCTGCATTTCTTCCATTGTTACCAGACTTGGGATGTAAAAGTATGATTATGTGAAATCTGTGTCTGGGTGGCTGTTTGTCCTTCCCTGCAGAGTATTCGGTGCTCACTGAGTGGGAGGGTCACGCCGTGTGGGACTAATAAGGACAGAGCTGCATCCCCCTCCACGCTCTGGGGAGACTTTCCTCCAGCAACTCCTGGGCACGGGCACTCGCAGCGCTGCCGGGGGACGCACCGCAATCAAAATCAAAGGTAAGCAACTCATTATTTGTAGCCGATTGTCTCAACATCCCACGTGCACCCACACCACAATGCTCCTCTTTTGTGTGGTGTGACTTTTTAAAAAAAAATGCCATTTATCGCTGTTTTTTGCCAATATTAACGATGTCCTCTATGAACGTAACGCAGACAGTAAGCTTTTAGTGATCAGTCTGTGCTATGGGATTGTGATTGTGTAATGAGCACACGGCATTTGTTGGTGGGGGACCGTAGGTACATGCTAAGGTATGCTAATGAAACAGCCCTGCTAAATTCGCGGTAATTTACAAAAACCGTTAAACTGTGGCAAACCACCCCAAGGCTGAGCATGCTTATTGATTGCACGCACATCCTCACCTTTAAAAATCCCCGCATTAGCGTGTATCCTTCCAATTAGCCGGCGTCCCAGCGGCCTGCAGCCGGGCTGCGGGCAGCGCCCCGGGACGGGGGCAGCTCCCGGGGGATGCCGAGCCGGACCCCCCCGGTTCTCCCGCTGCCCCCCATCACCTGCGGGGTCCCTGCAGGTGCCGGCGGGGGTCTCCCGGCGGCAGAGGGCTCCCTCAGCCCGCGGCGGCCGCTCGGCCCCGCTCCGCCCCGGGGAAGCCCGGCGGGACGGGCACCGGCGCCCGGTACCGGAGGGACGGGAAGGAGCCCCGGGGGGAGCCGCTCACCCCGGGTGTGACGGGCCCTCCTCCGGGAGAGATCGAAGCACCGGCTCTGCCTCCTCTGGGTCGCTCCTCCCGGGGGTGCGGGGCAGCGGAGCCGCCGCGGGAGCCTCCGGGAGCGGGAGGATGCGGGGCCCGGAGGTGCGGGGGTGGCGGCAGCGGGGAGGGGGGTTTAGGGGCGTTAGCGGCTTCGTTAGCCAGAGCCCTTCTGAAAATGAGCCCTCCGGCCAATTAGCCGCGCCTGCTCGTTAACGCAGGTGCGGGGAGTGAAGTGATAACGCTGCCGGAGCGGGGGTTCGCTCTGCTGCTGCTCGGGGGGAGGGAAAAAGTTGCGGGCGGTGTCGGTGTCTGTCGGTGGTTGGGGGTGTCGGTGGTTGGGGGTGTCTGTCGGTGCCGGGGGTGCGGGCGGTGCCAGAGCAGCTCGGACGGTCCATAAAGAGCCTCGTGGAAACAGTTAGAAAAGCTGCACCTTAGGTACGTGATTTGGGTTTTTTTCACAGAAAATATGATTAAAGAATAGTCGTAATTTTCCGTGTTTTGTTACATTCGAGTGTATCTATAGATTGCACTCGACTAAGGCAAAACCCCCGATACTGGCTTTAAAGGACAAAAGATGTGCCGTTGAAGCCAGACTGTGTTTTAGTGAGATATAAACTGTGAACTGGGCACAGGCTGCTCCAGGCACTTGTGTGTTTTGCAGGGCAGAGTCGTACCGTACTTTGGTTTCTTTTGCGCTTAAACAGTGTGCCTTCTTGTCTGATTTGTCTGATTTGTCTGATTTGAAGGCTACTTCGGTGATCAGTGACACCAAAAAGTTTAGCTAATATACTTAAAATTGAAAACCTAGGAGAAAAATAAAAGAAAATTAGTCATTACTAATGAAATTAAATTTTTGTGCCTTTAGAACTAATATCTCTGGGTTAATATTTCTAAGGCGTTACTTCTGAGTTTAGGAAAGAACTAAAGGAGTGTAATTGTTATTTATTTCTGAATTTATATAAGTCTCTTTCTGTAACTCCTTAAAACAGACAAGTGATACGCTTTACATGTGACGAGCAACTTCCTCTTTTCTTTATGGTCAAGAAATTCTTCTTTGTAGTTTTCTGATGGGGCGAGGGGAAAGGAGTCAGAAGACACTGTTCTGAATGTGATTCTTTTCTGTTCCAGCTTTGTAGCCGACTGTTCACATGTGTCCAGGGGGAGATGAAGCACGTTGGATGCTGCACAGTTTGGCTTCGTATGGCAGTCTTCCTCCTCCTGCCCCTCTCCACCTCCTTGGCTGCCGGTGACCAGACAGGTACCGCCATTTCTCTTGCCCATCGCAGACAAAATGCATAAATCTCAGCACTGAGCAAATTTCAACAAATAATGGCAACAGGTGGAAAATAACCAGCGTGAGCAGATAAAATTATACAATATATTTTTTTTTAATCTCCTTCTTTAAAAAGCCTAGGTTTGAAGCAGTTCCAAAGCAGCCTTTCTGTTTCCTGTGTTTGGAAGGTTCACGTTTGGAAGCAGTTGTAGTTCCTAGGAGTTTTATTTTGTACTTTTTCAACTCACTGTGCAAAACAAGGTTCTAAATCAAAGCTTTTGAAAATGTTGTGAACAAAAACATATGGCTTTGTTAGAGCAGGTCAGTGATCACGTTGACCCAAACAACCTAATGCTCGTGTTAACCTCACCTCTAGCAATGCCCACAGCTGGTCACACGTTCCACAGGTGCAGAGTCTTTGTCCTAAGACAGGTGTAGAACTTTGTCCTAAGAAGACAGGTGAAAGGAATAAAGCAATATTGTTTAACATAAACACCGTTACCCATCCTCTGCAAATCTTCTCATACTTCTCTATTTTCTGATCTCTCTTACTGTCCTCAGGTTATCTAACTCTCTCACAAAAACTGTGCATTGACTCTCCAGAGTGTGGTAGATGTTAAAAGCACATCGCAGGTGCTACTGGAATAAGGAGCTGTCAGTTTTCTAGAATTGCTCAGCCTCAGCACCTCAACTTTCTAGAATTTTCCTATAATTATTAGCAAGGCTACGTGCTTCTAGTTATTTAACTAGAAATAAATAGAGTTCTTTTTCATTAATTCTCCTGAAAAATCAAATTTAGTAATGCTGTTCTTCTGGAAACATGATGAAATATAGAAGCTATGTATATACAACAACTTTGAATCTCCCTAACGCATTTGAAACTCAGGCCCAAAAAGTTTAAAAAGTCAATGACTACGATAATAATCCTTTTACTACTTCTGCAAACAATAAATAGTAATATTTAATAAATAATAAGTGTAATGTGTGGGCTCTAAGGTAAGAATAGTGCATTGTGAAGAGTCTGAATTTAAGTCAAAGACTTATTTGCCTTCTATTTTTAGGGCAGCAAGGCCAAGTGCTCCACTGGTGAATTATTCTTAACCCCTGTGGCAGAGTGAGCTTGCGTCGTAGCTGTGCAATCCTTTTCCTCAGCTGTCTGAAGGAAGCTTTCTCTCTTTTCTGTTGTTGCTTGATGGTGAACCGTAGATGTGCTGAAAGTTCTCTAGTAATAGAAATTAATAAATCTAAACTTCAGAAATTTTAAAATAAAATGCCAGAAAGTTTCTTTTATATTCTTTTTTTTTTTTTTTTTTTTTATTGACTTTCCTGTTGCCAGATGTCACACTCTTGGCAAAAGGCAAACAGGCCGTTTTACAGCCATATGCTTTGCTTGGAGCCCTGAGCTCTTCAAAGCACCATTCACGCGGTGTGTTTCATCTCCTGGACATTGAAAGCCAAAATTTTTTTTTTTTTTTTTTTTTTTTTTTTTTTTTTCCCCTGTGGACATGGTGTCTTAGTAGAAGGTGGACCAGTAGCAGAAGAATGTGACAGATACAGCATTTATTAGCAGATCAGTCTATCTGACCCATATGTTACCTTCTGTTAGAACTTCATGGCTAGACAGCCAGCAGGAAAGGTGTGGTTTTCCTTAACCCGATTGCCACCAGTTGATCAAATATGGGTCAAATTGAACCTCTGGGGAGAAGAGGAGAGATGGAAGCCCTCCTGAGAACGCGCAGCGTGCAATTCATCGAGGCTGCTGCCGTCTGAGGTGGCAGAGGCAGATGGTGAGGAATCACAAGTAGTTAACTGCCAGCTCTGCCGACAGCAGGGAGGAGGCTCAGAGTGAAGCCTCAAGTCGATGGCAGGAAAGAGACTCTTCTAGAGGCTGCAGCGATGGTTACCATCCAAAAAAGAATTACCAGAAATGGGGAGGTGAGGAAGACCTGGCAGTGCAGCGGCGCAGCCCTGAGGGGTACGGGTGCCTGCCAGCTGCCTCTGCATCCCGGGCAGCCCAACCCATGGCTCTGGGTTGCAAAGTTGTCTGCTTCCAGATTGATAATTTATATGCAGAGTTATCTGTTACAAATTGGAAACACGCTCACTTCAAGAAGAGATAAATATCTAACCTCTTCTTTTGTCTTTTTGGTGTTTCTTTCTTCAACTGGTTTTTCCTTGGCCCTCTGTTCTCTCCCATGTGCCATTCTGTTTGGATCAGCATCTGTCCTTTAAGATCTGCCTGGGCAATCTTTGGGGGTTTCTTCCTTCAACAACATACGCATAGCGTTTCTTCCTCACTGTGCTCATATGAAAGCTTTTCCAGCAAACCTCATTTAGATGGGGTCTTGGATTATTGCACTTACATCCTGAAATTTCACACCTGATCTACTTGAGTCTAAAGGAATGGCCTTCAAATGCAGGCAAAAGCGTAAATGAAAGTTAATTTGAAGGGAAGAGCGTGTTAGGGAAAGGAAATCTCTTGTGCAAGAGAAAGGCTTAACGTACATATGTAGGGAGATGTCTCTGAGCTGGCATGCTGAGTATGCTTGGGGATTTATTCATTGGGTCAATATCATAAAATAAATACTGGGGTTGGGAAAAAATGTCAGAAAGTGATAGAGTATGCTGGATCTTCTTGAAGCAGTCCTCCTTAGGCTCTGAACATGTGCCAGTAACCATTACATTCCCATCAAGGATTTCTTTCAGCTCTCACTTGTCCAGTAGTTTTGACATGCTAATTGTTCATCAGAAGGAAGCACTCACTTCTAATGACAGAATACAGCAAATCTGAGGGAGAGAGTTCAGGAGTTCTCCACAACCATGTTTTTGATCTGACTTCAAGAATTTTTTCTTCATGTTGTAAACTTACATTTCTTTATTGTTGGGAACATTCGGTTTTGGAGCGTGGACATGAGCTCTTTCTGTAGGGACACATGAAGTTCTAACTTGATCATGCCAGAGTGCTTCGTCTTAAGAATATTAGTAGTCTCATTCCAAGATCGTTGCTGCTTTTTGAACTTTCCTTTACAATTACTGTTTTTCAAAATCGCTTGCTAACCCATGAAAAATGTAGTATAAACAAGGTCCGGGGGCTGTTGGGCATGGTGAATTTCCATTGCCTTTTGACGTGGAATGTCTTGTGAAAAGTATTTTCTCTAGATCATAATTTTAGATAGGCGCTTTAACCCAAATACAGTGAGTGGTTTCAAGTATGCAGATCAGTTCAGCTTTTTGGTTTTCATGTTTTAGTACAGCTAGATAATTCTTAAAATCAAGATAATGGCTCTACGGTAACTCTCATATGCCATGTAATTAATACTGAATATTTAAGTTTGGAGCCACAAACTATTGTTAGCCTTGCAGTGTTTAAGCAGTGCTGCCACCCCTGGATTCTTTGACTTGTAGATAAATACTAAGTCTTCCTGGGAAGTGAATAGGGAGCTTTAGGTGTGTACAAGAACGTGGTTGATGAAAGGCTGCATGCTGTAGAAAGCCACTTCAGCTGCTGAGTAGTACGTAAGAGAGACCCCCAGACCACAAAGGGGAATCTTCTCTCAGTGTGAAGCCTCTAATCTAGTTTTTTTTTTTTTTTTTTTTTTATGGTAAGGTAAAGAAAGAAAAAGCATCAACTCCTATGGGCAGTATATTCACCTGGGATACAAAGTCCTGTTTTTCACTACCTGCTGCTCTTCCTCATGGGACAATCTAGTTCTCCAGGGTCTCCAGGATGCATAAGCATTCTAATCCTTGAAATCCCTTGGTATGGATTTCTTATTCCCGCCTGCCAAAGCTTTGTTACTTACATAACCATCTACATAGTCACTAGACTTGGAGTTGACTTCTTTCCTATATCAACAGAATTATAGATTGAGTCTCCTTTGTTCCTCTTTCTACGCTTGTCTTAATTGACGCGTATATTGTAATTTAACATTATGTGTCTGACAGAGTGAAAAAAGGAAAAACAAACCACATCTGAATTCTGGTGTTTCTGTCCATGGGGTTACAGGTACATAGGAAATCTCAAATCTTGAACCTATTTGAAAGCAGGCCACCTGGGTCTGCTTAGCTTCAGTGTGAATACCTTTGGGGTGGGCTCCGTGGATGCCATTGCTGACACTTGCGGGTACAATGCACGCTCTGAAGAGGTTCACGGTGCCTCTAGATTTGAAGCCTGATTCAGTAAAAGCGTGAGACAAATCCTGGCTAATGTGGATTTCTGCCTGAGGCTTGAGTTGGATGTAGTGTGGCTGTTTGGCCACTTTCATTTGGCCAGACATGCTTACTGGTGGAAACTTCAGTGCCCTTTGCAACACACACGTCGGTGGTGTTAGACGGCATCTGAAAACTTCACCTGAACATAAAGTTTAATTACAAAACAGCAGCCAGGTACTGGTGATGTGAATCTAGCCATTGCAGGTGACACTTGATCTGGAGGAGCCAAGAGTGCTTGTTGGAAGCTGCATTTCCTTGCCAGGAAGTGCACACAAGGGATGTCTGTAAGAGCGGGACTGAAGCGTGTGCTGGGGTCTCCTCTATCCTTGTTTGCAGGGGAAGGAAAGCTGGGCATGGGGCCTAGATGGAAGCTGCAGTGGCTTCAACAGGTGCCCTGACCATTCCAGGAATTCGGAACGTGCCCCTGCGTGTTGCAGCAGATAAGTTTAGATGCAATGCCATTACTTTAGTTTTGTTGCGTAATGCTACTAGAAAACACAAATTTCTTACTAGCATCTTATTGGAGAGAGAGAAGGTCAATGATGTGTGATATACCTGCTGGATTTGCAAAAATACGTGTTTTCAAAATTATTGGGTTAATTTATGATAATAAGCTCATTGATTTCTAAAGATTAAGGTCTGTAATTTGTCCTACAGAGAGGTGATCTCATTAATTGATAGGTGTGTTAACTTCAGCTTTGACATCACTATTTTAATATGAGCTGTGGACTTCATTCCGGGCAGACCCAGCTTTATCACACGCAGAGCAATCTAGCGTATAAATATAAGCCTGTTCTTTTTAGTGCTTTGTTAGTTTTATGGAGGTCTGTTCTAACGGGGCAGGTGGGTGCATGGTTTCCATGCCTGGATTAGTGGTAAGGGTTTGTCTTGTTTGGTTTTTTTTTTCCTAAATGTCTTTATGTAGATCTCCAAATTCAGCTGCCAACAAGACGAAGAGATAAACTGGCTGTTTTGTCTCAGGCCACAGGAAATTTAAAGATCTGCCAGCAGTAATGAAAATCTTGGAATAGATTGGAGAAAAATCGTTTTGACTGTACAAACTATAACTGTAGAAGGAGTTTTCATCAATCTGTAGCAATTAAAGTTCTCAGTGTGTAGTAGAGGTTTCAGTTTTGGTGTTTTAGAGTTTAGCCTTAGCTCTCTGGTAAGAAGAGTAACAGCAGGCATCGGCAGCATGAGCTAGAAGCAGATTGGTAGTAACCCTTTCCCTCTCCGGGAATATGGAATACAACCAAATCCCTCACACGGACACGGCCTGTGTGCGCTGGGCCTGTGACACCACTGATAAACATCGGCCCACAGGCCGGTCTCCGGCACGTGAGATTGTCCTGATAACACAGCAATGAAGGCCTGAGTCTTTATTTGGGCTTGGAAGAAACTGGCTAAGAGGAATAATGTAAAACTCTCTAGTCTTTTGCCGCTCAGCCCTCCTGTAAGTTAATGCTGAAAAAGCCCCAACAGTTGTGCCCCAGGTTCTGGAGGGCTTACCACAGCAGTGGAAGGTGAAATAATCAGTAAGTCATATCTGGCTGCTCTTATTGTAAGTAAAGCAATTTAACCAAAAATGGCATCTTCCCCATAGTCTTTATAGATATATTAAAAAAGCCTTGGTTAGAATACACGTAGATTTAAGAAAAACATCTGTCAGTGTAGGTGTGACATGCAATTGCAGCTTCAGCCGAACCAGGCGTCCTATGTGCCAACATTTCTTGTGGCCATTCCTGTGTAAATCTACCATAACCACATCCAGTGTTCTAGAATGGCTATAGGTAAAAGCCTATAGTTTAATAATCTGTAGAAGTGATGAGAGGCTGAGGTTTAGATTAAAGGGGCGAGCCTGTTTCTGGCCTGTAGTGTGTATGCGTATATCAAATGGTGCAGTGAAATTGCTATGTTAGTGTGTAATCCCAGTGAATGCTTTTCATGCGATGTAAAAGTCCTTGCAAAACAAAATGATGAAAGATTTAATTCCATTTTCAGAGGTTTCAACATGATATTCTTTACAGTTCTACATCTTTTCTGGGGAAAGGGAATTTACGATGAGAATTGCTGTTGTTTTTAATCCATATGTTTCATCTCATTTGTTGTGAAACTTTATAGCTAGCTATCTGTACAGGCAAATGTATGTATATACACGTATTTATGTATATATATGAAAGAAAGAAAGAATACATTGTCTTAGTGCCTTAGAAATAAATCAATTAATTTACAGTTGATGTTGCTTGTAATTGTAGATTGCAATTTAGACATAAAGGGCATGGAACTTTATGAATTTTATGAATAAATGTCTTCTGCCTGATCAGTTCTTTACACAGTTGATGCAGTTTTCATTAACCATGTTGTCAGGAGGCATCTTTACATGAATATCTATGTAATGTTGATATCTATGTTATATCGATATCTCTGTAACTTAGTTTCACTTTTACTGCTTTTTTCCATTTAGCTATTCTTAATCCAGATAAAATATTGTAACACAATTAATAGAATTTAAGAATTTTAAAAGCTAATATGCTTTGTACATTACTACAGAATGAATGACAAATTTCACCTGCTTTAAGATTACAAATACAGCTATTTTGAATGTCAGCTTTCTGTCCGGATGCTCTTGGAAATTTTTAAATATAGATGATTTCCAGATTAGTGGCAGGACACTCCTCCTCACTTTTATCATTCAACTACCGCTTCTGAAAGCCCCTTAACCTTCACTGTTCAGCAGTTTCTGAACGGTTCAACCACCTTTTTTAGTTGCATTGGTGCAACGTGGAGCTCTGTGCTCGATAAGCACACGGGCCAAATCTTGCTTGTCATCTTCTGTTTGATAGTTTTATTAGGGGTCAGCGGGGCTATTTGCAAAGTTTGTGAAAGAGTGAGCCCTATTTCTGACTGATGCACAGAAGTAACGTTTCTCTGTGTTTTCTTCTTAGAAGTGCGTGTTCTTGTGTGTATATATATATATAAGGAAAAGATGGAAGGCCTTTATGCAAGTAAGATAATGCATATTAATAGTACAGTGTTTTGGCCAAAGTGTTCACTTAGATTTAACCTTAGAATTTACCATGTTACAAATTTTAGAACATTCTGCTTGTCAGACTTAATCAACTGTAAAACCGCTCAATTTTTCAACCTTTTTTTTCCCCAAATATAAGTATTCCTGGCATTATTTTTTATATGATATGATTATATCCGTGTAATCCACATTTTGAAATTGCTGCTCACTGAAGTAACAATAGATTATTGTGATGATAATCAAGCATTTGTGCTTTATTGTTTCATGTTCTTTAACAGGGTGAAAAAGAGATTTTTTTGAATAATATAGCCAGAAATAAAAATAAACAAACAAACAACCTCAGAATAGATGTGATTGCTTTATAGAGTATTGTAGATGGAAAGAGCTTGGTAAGAATTTAGTGTTTTCCTTCTGGTTATATTGTTTGCATGAGATTTGTTCATAAACAGCTGAATTAATATGTGACAAGATTTGTATCTGTTTATATTATTAGAAGTATAGTATGAAATCTGAAATATCACTACTCTTATTTATATTTTGCAATGTCGTTTATTGCTGTTTTTCATATCCTAAAGAATCAAACCAAAGTATTCTTGTTAATATTGCTATCACTGTCATGATGGTTTGTTCACATTCTTTTTTCTTTGATAGAATTTTATGATAGATGTACTAAATTGTATTCTCTTGAAGGTGCTGTGTGTCCTTTAATGAAAACAGTTGTCCCTCATCTCAAACATATCAACAGAGACAGTCTTGGTGTTTCAGGTAAATGACTGTGTTAACATGGATATCTAAATTAATTGGCCAGTAGGGGATGTAATTATAGTCTGACTGAAGTTGGCTTTAAAACTGAAAGGACAGTATAGAATGCCACTCCCGTGCTCCAAAAGCTTCTGTTATATTTGGGAAGGTGGGCTAAAAGTCAGAATATGTTGTTGGAAAGTACTGATTCAAGTTGTTCAGCCGCACTCATTTCCGTTGTTTTTCCCAAACATCCTTTGCTCTTATCAGTTCAGATTAAAAAAGGAAATAACAAATGCATTTTTTGGGTTGCAAAGTCATCTACTGAGTGAATTTTGCACTGATAGTTTCTCTGTCAATAAAACAAATATTGGAAGTTTCTCTGACTTAAAGTACTGGTTTTCAAAATATCTTGTCAGTCTATACTCTAAAAAGTCACCAAGCACACTAAAAGTCAGTATTTACCTCCGTTTTTTTTAAATTCCGTTAAATAAACTAAATCATTGTATCATATTTCACAGGGTTTGATCTGGCACAAAGTTTTTCTTTGAGGCAAACATCGTGTGGAAGGGAAAAACTCTGTTTTAAACTGGGAAGCGCACCTCTCGTCAGAGACACAAAGTAAGTAAGACGCTACCTTTATCCCCAGGGTTTAAAAGGCTGAGCTCAGACTAAATGCTACTCGTGAACTGAAACACTGAGCAGCGTATTCAAAAGATGACACAGAGAAACAAGTCTGTCTGTTTTCAGGCATTTTTATCTGTAACAATTTTTTTCCTGGGGAAACATTTTGATTCATGTCTGCTTTTCTTCTGGAATCTGGAAGTATCTGGGTAGAAGGTTAATTGCAAAAATATTTTTCTAAAAACCTGATTCTGATACTGAAAACTCTACTGTTTATACATAAATATTTGTAAAACAAAGGAAAAAAACAAAAAAATTAAGAACTTCCATGGTATGACAAGAAGTGTTATACTAATCTTCCCTCAGTTGAATTGGCTGTCCTCTCTCTCATTGCTGTTGGCAGGATTAAAAAGAGAGTCGCTATTTCCTTAAATGCTGTATTTTCATGGGTTTTTTTTCCCGGTGGAATTGGCATCTTGCCCTTGAGCAGCAACAGAATCGTGGGTAGCCATTGTAGAGGTGAAACTAGGCAGCATCCTGTCTTGATACAGAGTGGGATGCAAGGCAGAGACTGCATGGAAAATCCAAAGGAAGGTGAGAGAGAGTAAGGCACCATGGGGACAAGGAGATGGCAAGAAGCAGTTAGGAATGTAGTTTCAAGTTGCCCGTGCTCAGTAGAGAGAGAGGATCATCTCAGAGCTTCTTGGTTGAGATGTGCTCTGAGTCATGGGACTGTGGTTTCTGTACAACGTGTTCTGGTGATGATGAGGGAAGCAACTGTATTCCCACGTCTTCAGGTTGGGTATCTCTGTTGCAAGAGGTCTGGCTCCAGCTTGCCTAGGGAAAAAAATCCACCTGGCCCTCGGACTTCCCCTGTGGTTGGATCCTGGGCAGAGCCAAGAGGGGCTGTGGGCAGTGTGAGGCCAGGGGAGAGGGAGAGGAGAGGAATCAGAGGCACCCAGACACAAACCAAGGTGATCTTTGGGAGAGGAGCACGGTTAAAGAAATAGGACTTAAATATTCTGCATTACTAGATAGACTCTGAGCTTTTCTGAAGTATTAAATGCAGTTAATTCTAAATTTTCATGCTTGTCTAATCCTGTTCTTTGTTAAACAAAGTAATCACTCTTTTTTTTTAAATAACTTGAACATTTGCTATTGGAGGAAAATTACTAAATAAAATTACTTGACGCAGAGAGTACTCTATTTTTATTACACCCTTCCCAGTATTATCAAGATTCTTTAGAAGAGAAAGAGGTAACATTAGGTGCCGCCTATACATGCCTTTACCAAAAATATTTTGAAAGTTTGTCAGTAAGAAAACTCTTTTTAAAAATCCACTATTCATTTTACAGATTTTTACAGCTTTTTTTTCAATAGATGGGAATTTGAGGGAAACATGAGACTGCAAAAGAGCAGAAAATCAAGGTGATATGTGGGGCAATTTTCCTTTAAGAATAAGAAGCTAAATTGTGCTTTGTGTGCAGTGAAATGCAGATTGCAAGCTGACTTATTTTATTTTGAAACTGTAAGAAAATCAATGGCAAATTTGGAGTGAGAGGAGCTAGAGATTGAAAAATTTTGGTTGAAACTATGAAATTCATATTATTTTGAAGGAAAATGCATGATTCAAAAGGATTGATTTCTAAGAATTTGGTACTTTTGGACGGGGTCTGACAGGTGATTTTGAGGTTGAAAGATGCCAAGCTTTTTCCTAGCTTTGATTAATTGGCCTGAATACTAACGTTGATGCTTCATTTATTTCCTTCTTTTACATATGTTTTATTAGTGAAGGTAGTGAAAATGGGGAATTCACGCCCTGGCTGACAGCTGTAGCTTAGCAAAGCCTTAACTCTTAGCACTGGCAAGAAAAATACTTAGAAAGACAGAATACTATTTTTTTTAAACTTACTTCATGAGGTGGGACAGAAATCTAATTTTTTGTTCCCCCCCTTTATTTTACCCGTTCAACCTAATTTTGAGGGAGGATGACTCTTTGAGAGAAAAATAGCTAATTTTAAAGAGTAAACCTGGAAGGCATGTGGTTTGGCTCTAATGGTCTCTTGCTTCTCATGTTCCTCTCCCTCCCCGTTGTTTTCTTCTGTGTACCCTCATTAAAGAAAAACTAAAGAGAAAGTCTTTCCAGTTTTCCCTAAAACTATGCATATCTAATGGATGAAACTGTAGCTGGATGAAGCAGCTGAGATGATTATTAATAAAATGCATAACAGTGCTAATGTATGAATAAAATTAGGGTGAAATTATTACCATGTTATTGATGTTAATAAGGTACAAGATAAGCTTTTCTGTCAGCCTGTTGTGGACATAAATAGTACCTCTTACATACAGCTTCCTGAACAAAAAAGGGTTAAAAGTATTTTCAATACCATTCAAGCATTGCAGAATTTTGATTAAATACTAATTGTTCATGGAGTTAGCCTTGCTCATGATTTTTTAACCTTTCTTCACACAGAAATGTGTGTCATAATTAACAACAGAATTTACTTTTTTAGTCAATGTGTAGAATATATAATAGCTTTCTGTAGTTGAGATAACACTTCAGATAGTTTTTAAAAAATCTGCTTTCTGTAGTTGAGATAACACTTCAGATAAGATTTTTTTAAAAACTATTTGCTTAAAGTATTTTTTGATAGTTGTCTGAACTTATGAGTTGTTTTTTTAAAATAAGAGCAGAGGAGCACAAAGTCGGGTTTTGCCATGGGAGGGTTACAGTGAAGGATAGGAACTGGCTTATCTGTCATCAAACCTTACGATTTACTTAATCTCAGTTATCCATGTACAATATTTTGTAATATGTTATTTTAACCTAAATCTCCTTCTCTTACACCATGTCAGATTGTGTGGTTACAGACCCCTTGTGTTATTAGATGCACAGAGGTTTTTAGGATCATTCTGCCTCAGAAAATATATGAGTAGACGTGGTGTGCAGTGAGCAGCAGGACAGTGTTTGTTATCTGTCCTGCAGGAAACTGAGAGTATCTGATTAAGCTGACTAGCAAGTATCAAGTAACTTGGCACATCTCTTCTTGCATTTCATTCATTCAGTTGTAGTGTGGGTAATAGAAAGCTATGCTGTGCCATTTTTCTTGTGTGATGCCACTTTGGTTTTTTTTCAATGGGCCTGGAGTAGTGTTGCACCTATTTATATGTGGTAAATAATTTGCAATGCAGTGTCAGCTTGGGAAGTTGATTATGTCTATTTATCTTGGATTTCAGTTATATCTCTTATCTTTATATCTTATCCCTTGTTATGAGGCAGTTTTGTGCGTATCTTCTCTCGTGACAGGAGGTCCTTAGCTTTTCTTCTGCTCCACATAAATATCTATTAAATATTAATTTAATTCTAATCTATTAGTATTTCCAGGATTAAAGAGTGATTGTAAAAATAAAATACTGTGAGTTACCTATTGCAGTTCTTACATGGACTTTAATACAGTTATTCCTGAGCAAAGTAGTGTAATTGAGCCTTTGAATCCGAAAGAAATCACAGTAAAATAGTTATGCAGACAATCTAATTTTACAGTCATAATAATAGTAATTGTGTAATGTTTCAATTTTATTTCAAAGAGTCACAGAATCACATGGGGTTGGAAGGGATCTCTGGAGATCCTCTAGTACAAACCCTGCCAGAGCAGGTCCACCCAGAATAGGTTGCACAGGAAAGTGTCCAGGCAGGTTTGGAATGTCTCCAGAGAAGGAGACTCCACCACAGAATCACAGAATCTTCTAGGTTGGAAGGGACCTTAAAGATCATCTTATCCAACCTAACTTTGACAAAAATAGACACCCGCACAACAAACAAAAAGCAACACCATCACTAAACCACACCTCCCAGCACTACATCAACCCGTCTTTTGAACACCTCCAGGGATGGTGCCTCAACCACCTCCCTGGGCAGCCCATTCCAATGGCTGAGAAACCTTTCAGTGAAAAAATTTTTCCTAATATCCAGCCTGAACCTACCCTGGTGTAACTTGAGGCCATTTCCCCTTGTTCTGTTGCCTGTGACTTGAGAGAAGAGACCGACCCCCACCTCTCTACACCCTCCTTTCAGGTAGTTGGAGAGAGCAATAAGGTCTCCCCTCAGCCTCCTCTTCTCCAGGCTGAACACCCCCAGTTCCCTCAGCCTCTCCTCACAAGACTTACTCTCCAGACCCCTCACCAGCTCCGTTGCCCTTCTCTGGACCCACTCCAGCCCCTCAAGGTCTTTTTTTGTGGAAAGGGGCCCAAAACTGGACACAGCCCTCGAGGTGGAGCCTCACCAGTGCCCAGTACAGGGGGACCATCACCTCTCGGGTCCTACTCTCCACACTGTTCCTGACACAGGCCAGGATGCTGGTGGCCTTCTTGGCCACCTGGGCACACTGCTGGCTCATCTTCAGCCGACAGTTGACCAACACCCCCAGGTCCTTTTCTGCCCGGCAGCTCCAGCCACTCTGCCCCCAGCCTGGAGCGCTGCAGGGGGTTGGCGCGACCCAAATGCAGGACCCTGCACTTGGCCTTATTGAGCTATATTCAAGTTGGTGCCCATTCCTTCTTGTCCTGTCACTGGGCACCACTGAAGATTGGTCCCATCCTCGTGACACCCATCCTTTAAGTATTTATAACCATTGATCAGATCCCCCCCTCAGTCTTCTCCATGCTACAAAGACCCAAGTCCCCCAGCCTCTCCTCATAAGGGAGATGCTCCAGGCCTCTCATCATCTTTGTAGCCTCTGCTGTCCCCTCTCCATCAGTTCCCTCTCCTTCTTGAACTGGGGAGCCCAGAACTGGACCCAGTGCTCCAGATGGGGCCTCCCCAGGGCAGGGCAGAGGGGCTGGATGACCTCCCTCCACCTGCTGCTCACACACTTCTTGATGCCTCCCAGGATGCCATTGGCCTTCTTGGCCACAAGGGCCCATTGCTGGCTCATGGTCATCCTGTTGTCCATCAGGACTCACAGGTCCATTTCCACAGAGCTGTGTTCCATCAGGTC